GACTGCTGCTGATCCTGTTTAAACGAGGCCAGTGAAGTGTCCTGGGGTCCCGTCCTGTTCTCAGTGTGGGTCCCTCCCAGGACCTGCCAAAGGGGAGGTAGATGGGAGAGGACTGTCCTTGGCTGACCTGGCAGATGGCAATATGGGCCGGGTAATGACTTGCCTGTTCCCAGATAAGCCACAGGCCAGCCTCTTGGCCTGGTGAGGGCCTGCCCAGAAAACCTTGGCTAATGGGGACTTCTCAGCCACCATAGCCCAGCTTGCGTGTCGCACCTCTGCGAGGCTGGGACCACCCGGCGGGCACAGCGCAGGCCTCCGTAAGGGCTGTGTGCACTGGGTCACACTGGACTGCAGAGACCTCCAGGGCCTGGGCTCGTCCCCCTTCCCTGCCCAGCCCTCAGTACCCACCAGCCTACATCATGTCTGAGTTAGACTCCTAGGACCTCAGGTGAGCAGAATCAGACAGTATTTGTCCTTTGGGCACTTGATGTCTCCAGGGTTCATCCATATCATAGCACGTGTCAGAGTTTCCTTCATTCTAAGGCTGTTTAATAACATACTTTATTGAACCCAATATAGTCAAAGTATAATTCCAACATGTGATAAAAAATTATGGATGAGACAGTTTACCTTCCTTTCCTCATACTGTCTTTGGAATCTGCTGGGTCACACTTACAGCACCTTCCAGTTTGGACCAACCATGTCTCCAATGCTCACTGGCCACGTGTGGCCACGGCTGCGGTGTGGACAGCTGGGTGCTTCTCATCAATGTCCTGGGAAAAGCCCATGTGGCCACACAGTTTGGGAATGTCTTCTGGATCCCCTCGCCCCTCAGTCAGGTACTGGCCTTTCCTGCTGGACTCTCGCCTGGACAGCCCACCTGCCCTCCCAGGTCACAGCGTGGACCCCTGGACTCCCAGCTTTGACCTGCCCCACCTGCTGCCTGGTCCACTCACAGACGCTGAGCTCCGGCTTCCCAGGACTAATGAAGGAAGAGCTCACCTCTGGCCCCTCCCAGGCCAGCTCCATCTAACAGAACTTTCTATGATGATAGAAAGTCCCACATCTGTGATGTCCACTATAGGAGCATGAGCCACATGTGGCTAGTGGGCATTTGAAAGGTGGCAGTGTGACTGAGGGGCTGCTTTTAATTTCACCAAGTTCACAGAGATGTGAGTAGCTATACGTGGCTTGTGGCTCCCATACCGGACAGCAGTCGGCCCCAGGCTGCTTCTCATTGCCTGCCTGGCCACACTTGGTGGGGCTCCCTGCTGTGCCCAGGCCCCTGACAGCGTGACCAGGCCATGGCCCTCCCTTGCTCAGAGCCCAACCTAGAGGAGAACCCGGCTTCTGTACGGTGGCCTGCCAGGCCTGGCCCATCTCCCCTGGCCCTCCTCCCTGGCTGCTGCTAACCCACCACATGGCCGTCTGGCTGCTCCTGGCTCTGCCAGGCACTCTGCGGCCCCAGGGCATTGGTCACCAGATTCAGATCACGCAGCTCCCTTGCCATCTGCTGTCTCTAAAGTCCCCAGCCTGCCTGCCACTTTCTCGCAGCACTGAGCACCTGCGAATGTTTTATTCAGTCTCCTCTACCGCACACGCTGTCGGCCCCTGGAGGAGGATGCCTGCCGGCATGGCTCACTGATGACCCGACCATGGCAGTTCTGCTGGTTGGATGAGTGACACTGAATGCGGGCAGCACTCACGCTCCCAGCCACACCCGGTGGGGCCCACCCCAGACTGCAGGCCGAGGCACCCGAGCTCTGGGCTGGGCCCCCTCAAGGGCTGCTCTGAGGGTGCCGAGAACCCAGTGAGCTCTGAGAACTGCCGGGCAGAGTGACACATGCTCCCAGCCGTTATGACTGCTGGGCAGAAGGGCCCGTGTGCCACCACTGCGTTCACTTAGCACATCTGCATGTCCAAGGCCACTCTGTGCCAGGCGGTGTGGTGAGGCTGGGGTGGGGTAGGGGAAGAAGGCGGACACAGCTCTGTCCTCCGGGGCTGGGCAGGCATGTCCCTCGGCGACCGCTGGCCTCATGTCTCTATGACCAGATGGGCGGACTCTGGAGTTTACAGCCAGAAGCAGCAGGACCCTATGCTGACGCGAGGACCTGCTTCCCACCTGGAAGGAGGTTCCCTGGAGGGCCACCGAGGTGCGGGAGCTGGGCTCATGTAGGTGCCAGAGAGGATGCCCCACTGGGCCCGGGCTGTGCAGGATGCCCTAGCCGCCGCGGCCAGGCTTGGGGAGGCACTGAGGGTGTGCTGGGGTGCTGCTTTCTTATTAAAATGAAAATCTTGTTTGCCCACTTGTGTTCCCAGCAGATGGACTGTCCTTTCACCAGCTAGTGCCCACAGCTGTTTGTTCCTTGTCCAGCTGTGGCAGGTGGGGCTGGGGGACAGAGGTAAAGGAACAAAGCAGTTTTGGAGGGCCTGCCCGCCTGTGGCCCTGGCTGTGTGCATCTTTCTACTCTGACCAAACTGTGGGTCTGTTTTGATGGCAGACTTGCCTTTGGATGTGTGTGCTGGGGTGGGGCTGAGGGATCCCAGGGGTCTCAGAACTCCCAACACCTGGGCAGAAACCCCTCTGGACACCACCACCCTGTCTACCATCCCGTCCCCACCTCCAGCAGCTCATCTTGTACTTTTCCACTAAGGGCTGACTCAGAACAAAGTGAACCGTCCCTGCAAATCAATAGCAGAGCAGCTATGAATGCAGCTGGAACAGCGTGAACATTTCTGAAAGGCTGATGGACTGGCTTTCAATGGTATGCAAGAGATTACGTCCCAGAAGACCAGTTAGGTGAGCAGAATGTCTGAGCAGGGGCACTGCCCAGCAAGGAGGGTGGTGTCCCCAACATGTGGGCACTGGGGACTTAGTTACAAGGGCAGGGTGGCACTTGGGGGCCGTCTCCTCCAGAGTTCCATTGCCCGTGTCTGGAAGAGGGCCTGCACACAGTGGGCGCTCTCGAGCACTGTTGAATGAATGGGAAAGCAAAGACCCTTCTGTCCTCATGATGCCGGCGTTCTTGTTTGCGGAGCCGAAGAATGAGCTTCACAAACAGTCAAGGTAGGAGAGCGAGGTACAGGCTTTATTTAGAGATACAGTGAAAGGACAGAGCTCCCGGCTCATGCCAGGAGGGGACAAGAGAGCCCGTAGTGGTGCGTTGTCTAGGATGTTTTATAGACAGTTAAGGATTTTTCGAGAACATGAAAAAATACTTAGGGGTGTGGGCTTGTTAAGTGGTCTCTGAATATTTAGAATTAACTTAACACAAGCAACTTCCTCTGATGATTTCTCCCTGAGATACCAGCATCTTGGTCTGGGAGCATATGAAACAAGGCCACCTGCTCAGTCCCCGAGGTGGGCCGAGGTATTGTTTGCTAAAGAGTAAGTCAAGAATTTCTAATGTCTTAACTTCTTGGGTATTAAAATGCAATCTTATCTTTAAGGTGGAATCTTTCCTGCCTTTTACTATGTTGTTTATGCCTGGGCTTACTTGCTAAATTAGTTGCCCAGTTTGCAAAATCACTTCATCAGATCTGAAGGAGAAAGACAGCACATAGGCCTGGGCCTTTTAGTATGCTAAAGAGAACCTTACTCATGATTATAAATGGTCAGCATAATGAAACATGTGCTACTCTTCTTTATCTGGGGAACATTAACTGATTTTACTGAAGAATGATTCTAGAGCTTAATGTTTAACATAGAGTTTTAGCAGGGAGGTTTCCTTGCATGTAGTGACATTGCTCTGACTGCAAATATCCCACCCTGCTTTTCCCCGGAGGCCCTCACCCTGCTCTGACTACATCCACGGTCCCTGTCTCTCTCACAGGAGCTGGCAGGAGTGCCATCGCAGGCCTGTGGCCCCCAGGGCTCACTGTTCCTGGTCCACAGTGACGTTTGGGGCTTGGAGGGCTTGGTGCCAGGGCTGAGGCTGCAACAGGCTTATCTGTCTGCAAACAGACCTGTCAGTTCTCCCACAGCAGGGCTGGGGGCTTTGCTCAGAAGGCTGCCCTGACCGGTTGCTCTGTCCTGAGAGATTCCCTCTCAGGCTCCATCATCCCTGCTTAACTTCTCATTTCACGTTCACGCTGCTGTGCCACCCCCACCTCCACGTCTCTTCTCGCCAGCGGAAACCCTGCCCCGTTAGACACTAGCCTCCTCTCCCTCCCCAGCCCCGGCCCCTCACTCTGCTTTTGTCCCTGTGGGCCTGCCCACCCCGGGGGTCCCGTGGAAGTGGACTCACAGGATCTGCCCTCCAGTGACAGGCTGGCTACCTTACGTGGTGTCCTCAGGGCTTTGCCCTGCCGCATGTCCGCGGAGGGACGGCGCCTGAGCCCTGGCGGGGAAACCCCTTGGGAAGAAATTTAGGTGCCAAAGCCCAAATTCAGAACAGTGTTCAAGTCCTAACAGACAATTACTTTGAAATGAGAAGTACCCTGCTCTCAGCACCTTTTCCCTACGGAGGCCTTTGGGTACTCGGAAGCCAGCCCCTTTGGGTGGCATTATTAGAAACTGTGATTTCAGTGTTTGTGAGCCTGTTAGGTGCCAGGTACTGTCCCTGCCACACGACATGAAACCCCACCAGGAGCCCAAGGAGGCTGAGGCCTAGGGGTGGGCCCTGAGGCAGACAGGTCAGCTCTGGAGCACAACCCCAGTACAGTCCGGTTATAAAGATGCCCGGCAGTGCCTCCCAGAGGCGGACCCTTCCAATGCGTCATTCGGGCTGAAACATGACAAGGGAAAGTGCTGTGGTCACACCCCCTGTCAGCGGCCTGGGCCGGCAGCCGGGAACACTGCTGCTCCGGGGCCACACCTGGATTCTCCTTTTTCGGCTGAGTATGAGCACGCACCCACCGACGTCCACCAAGAGACCCTACATGCACGGGGGGGAGACTCCATTTAATTTTATTTTATGGTTGAGATACATATAATAATTTGCACAAATCTTAGTGTACAGCTCAATGAATTGTGACACTCATGTGTATTTTACTTTTTAATTCAGAAAACAGAAGGATTAGATTTTTAAGAGAGACATTTTCTGAGAAAAAACAGTATAAAATACATCACTGAGATAACCTTTATTCGTAATCATTTAAAATCCACAGAAGTACTTTACTTGAATACGGCTATGACAGAGAAAAACAACCTATTTTCTTAACTGAGCATACAAATTTTAGGCTCAAAATAACCTTAGTTATAATTCATTTGCGCTTCTTTGAGACTTAAAGTATTGTGACCTAAAGTTTACCACAGTTTTTTAATCTTAAATGTTTAAGAAATTAAAAAAGTGGAAAACAGCACTGTCATTTCTCATTAATTTGCTCAGAGCATTTAAGAACCCATCAACAGTTAATGCCGCCGCTCAGGCCAACCTTCCTGGCATTATATTGACCTGTCACTACAAAGGGGCGACACACAGATGGCCGAGATTTCCACTGCACTTAGGTCTGGAGCTGCTGAAACGTTCTGCCAGTGCTTAAGATCTACCAAGGAACTCATGCCAAGTGCACAGAGTTTTAGGAAAACTGCCTGGGACTGTGGGCGCTGGGACTGCAGAGCTTTGGTGGGGTTCTCACCCAGCAGTCCGCCCTGCCCCAGGGCCTCTGCCAACCTCTCATCGCCAGCGGCCTCAGGACCCCTTCAGCTTCCCTGCCCGCCCCAGCCCAGGACGCAGCTGACAGTTTTACAGAAAAACTTCACAACTGTCACTTTGTGAAGTCAAAGAACTGCTTATGCTTTCCCTGGTCTGAACACAGAGCATGTTTACCTTCTGCTCATCTTTTAAAGTTGCTCCTAAAAGAAAGTATCCTTGGAACTGTGAAGGCAACGTCTCTGTGGCCTCACATCTGAGGGGCTCTGGGGGTGAGGAACCTGGAGCCTCTGCATGGCACTCTGTCACCTGGGCCCCTCCGCCTGCCCGCTGGACGGGGCCTGCCGGGGCCCAGCCCACCCCCAGAGGTGACAGCTGGCGGGCAGAGCTCGGGGGCTCCGGCAGCCAGCAGGGCCATCATGGTGCCTGGCTCTTGGGCTTTCCCGCTGCCAGGAGGGTGATCTGTTTTTGGAGATCTCTGGCTTCTCACGGTCACCTGCCCCTCAACCTTGACTGGAGCTCTTTTGAGCAAGTTTCTGTTCCTTGAAACCTCAAGGGACTTTGCCCCTAGGAGCCCTAAGGGTCTGGGAGGTATTTACGAAGTGAGCCGGGAAGAACTTCAGTTGGTAAAAGCTCTTGACCAATGTGAATACTGGCAGTGGATCACCAAGCCACCAGTTGAAGGGCAGAATCCATCTGCCCAAGGACCTGGTAAACAAACTATCTGGGGCACTCGGCTAACAACTGTGACACACATGATCTCTGCATCATGGGATGTGATTCAGGAAAAGCTGCATCTGAAAAGGCCTATAATACTTATAGTTGTCCAACAGTCCCACAGGTCACAAAACACGTTGACGCTTCTGACATTCTCCAGAGGGAGGCCCTCAGAGACAGCACATAGAACATGTGACATGGCTTTAACGGTCTGTACCAATGCGCCCATGCATGCGCATCTCTGCCACCCATGCTGGAATTCACTTTCCTGAAAACAAATTTTCCTTTCATACCATCCACCTGTCTTCTGCTATTACTATGGAAAGTTACACTGAAAATCTTGAAGAATTGATGTGCAAAAACAATCAGAAGCGGCACCACTAGAAGATGCTGTTTATTTCACCGTCACATTACCCAGGGCCAAGACGATCTTTAAGTGACCTTAAAGTCAGACAGGCAGTTTGATGGGATGAGGGAGGAACCGAAAGCTAGTAAACAGCTCCTGCCTTCTGGGCTGCTCACACGGAACAAAGGGCCCCTGCCCAGGGCCCTGGCCCTGCCGCCTACCACCTTCCCCTTCAGTTCTCTCAGACGCAGTGTCCCGGCCACTGGTGACAGGGTGAGAACCTGTTGCTGAATGAACAGCACGGTGTCACCTCTGTGAACCAGTGCTCCGCACTGTTTGCTGCATACACTCCACTCCCGGGGCCTCTGTTAACCGGAAAAGGGGCTTAACGACCCCGGAGTTCCTCCAGGAACCGGCGCACAACTCCGCTGCAGACGCAGGGCTGATGGATTCGCATTTGCACCTTAAAGGGCTCCGTCCGAGCAACGTGCTTCCTCTGGCTTCTGGATTTCAGCCTGGGAGAGTGCCATAAGCCACAGAAGGAACCCAATCCTATGGCTCTATTGTCGTGACTCATTTTGGAACAGAAACTGTTGGCCAAGTAGCTTTTGGTTAACCCCGGATATCTCGCCTATCATACAGGCCTCACTTACTGGTGGGGCCTGGCTCTGCAGCCACTTCCCATGGTTGAGGCAGGTGTCCCCTCCTGTAGGCCATGACTCCATGCCACACGGCTCCAGGATGCAATACAGAGTGCCCCATCACTTTATAAACACATAATCCCACTTCAAACAATGCTGACTTTAAAGGCATTTTTCAAACAGAGGGATATACTCCAGGAGCAAGTTGTTGGGGAAAACCTGGAAACCGAGGCTGGGAAGGTGCCTGCGTGGGCCAGTGAGATCTCTACCAGAGGAGCCGCTTTCAAGTCTGTAGGTACATGTGCCCCAGGATAGCTGTGCACTGCCAGGCACGGGCCAGGACCTCCGGTAACTCATGCTCCTGGTTCTGTGAGGGCTACAGCTGGCTTCACAATCATTTCCATCGTGGAGTCAAATTTTTCACATGAAATTTTATTAGTATTTTTATATTGTCCTATTTCAAACTGGTGTAATTCAAAGACACAGAAAATGCCACACAATGCTTGGGCTTTATTTAACATCACATCAGTGCCCAAGTGCCAGCCTGGAATCCAGAGTCAGGACAGAGGCACCCGGCCCACAGGCACGGGACTCGTGTTCCTGCGGCCCGTCCTGCGCTGACCTCAGCCAAGGGCCCCCGTGAGGAAGGCACGGGGCTCTGGTCGCTTACAGGCTTTCAGAGCCCTCACACAGCGAGCTCCTGTCACCACGGCTTCCTGGGGAAACTGGGTGCAGCGGGGAGGGGGAGTGTGGGCTCCTCCTAGCTGGTCTTCTGCTGCAGTGTAAGCCTGTTCCAAACCCTCTGCAGGGCCACTCTGCCCATGAAGAAGGTGATGGCGAAGTTGCGCTTGTACCAGTCTCTGGGGGAAAGCAGAACAGTGCACGTGACTCACCCGGTGCCCAGGCATCTGAGGAAAGCTCCCCGCAGAAGCCCAGCCCTCCCAGCTACCCCTCGGCCTTTCCTCACCGCCTCTTCCTGGCTCACTTAAGCTAAGCCTTTCTGCTTGGATTGGCATCAGGTTGAGAACAAAGCACAGTCAAGAGTGAATGCCCAGGGTTAACGTCCAAAATATATAAAGAACTCATTCTCCTCACACCCAAAAAACAAATAACCTGATCAAAAAATGGGCAGAGGACCTGAACAGACATTTCTCCAAAGAAGAAATACACATGGATAACAGGTACATGAAAAGATGCTCCACATCGCTAATCACCAGGGAATGCAAACCAAAACCACAATGAGGTATCACCTCACCCGAGTCAGAATGGCCTCCATCCAGAAGACAAGAAACAACAAACGCTGGTGAGGGTGCGGAGGAAAGGGAACCCGCCTACACTGCTGGTAGGAATGTAAATTGGTGAAGCCACTGTGGAAGGCAGTATGGAGGTGTCTCAAAAAACTAAAAATAGAAATACCATTGGACCCAGTAATTCCACTCCTAGGAATTTATCAGAAGAAAACAAAGTCCCTGATTCGAAAAGACAGATGCACCCCTATGTTTTTTGCAGTGCTACTTACAATAGCCAAGATGTGGAAGCAACCTAAGTGTCCATCAACAGATGGATGGATAAAGAAGATGTGGCACATACACACAATAGAATGTTATTCAGCCATAAAAAGAAAACAAATCCTGCCATTTGCAACAACATGGATGGATCTAGAGGTTATTATGTTAAGTGAAATAAGCCAGGCAGAGAAAGACAAATTTTATATGACTTCACTTATTTGTGGAATATAAAAACAAAGCAAAACAGAAGGAAAAAAACAGCATTAGACCATTAGACTCGTAGACACCGAGAAGTGACTAGTGGTTACCAAGGGGGACGGGTTGGGGTGGGTGGGACAGGGTGGGGGATAAAAGGGCACAATAATTTGCAATCACAAAATAAGTCGATCATGGGGACTGTTGAACCACTGTGATGTACATCTGAAACCACCGTAAGATCATATATTAATGATACTTTAATAAAGATAAATTTTTAATTAAAATAAAAAAATCAAAAAAAGAATGAATGCCCAGGGTTCCCCGAAGCCCACGTTTTCCCATGCACTGGGATCTTGCTCTGGTTTTTGCTCAAAGACACCAAAAGAACACTAGGAAACCTGGGCCTCCCTTGAGTCCAGTCGCATCCCTGGAGACACACAACACTGCATGGTGGGGGTGCGGCCGCTCAGCAAAGCGACTCCGCAGGCTCCGCAGGGTTTGTGGGGACCAGTCTGGCTTCGGTGCCTTACACGCATGAGAAGCACATGGAAAAACTCCTCCATCGCGAGAAGCTGGTTTATCCCAAGTGCCAACATCATAAAGCTCCATATCCTCCCTCTAGACCTCGGAGTTTGTGCATAATTTGTCTCTGAAGAGGTAATTCCAAAGCTTCTCATACAGACAGTGGGATGGAGAAGCTCCTGAATCTCACAGGCCCGCCTGCTTATGAGTCACTCTACAGAATGTGCCGAAACTTAAGAGTCACCCCACAGTCAGCACTGAGTGGGTGAGCTTGGCAAACTGCCCCCACAAAATGCACAAATTCCAGACTCTCAGTGCCAAGCTGGGGCCTTTGCATGGCGGAGTGATAAACCCCTCTCTATATGACAACAATCTTTACATTTCTACCCACTAAGTGATGCCATAAATGGGAAGCAGGGCCCTAAACAAGCAAGAGAGGCTTCCAGAAAAAGAAAACCCATATCCCATTAAGATTAAAGTTCTCAAGTTATTAAGGAAAAGCTGGATCCCACTTGCCTCCATGAAGAGCAGGGAAAAGGCAGACCACGCTCCCCCGGCTCTGGCAGGAGCAGCAGGGGCAGCGCCGGCCCCCTCTGCCCTGAGGCCCCGGCGCGCAGCTTCCCGGAGGTGCTTCTGCGAATGTCAGAGACCAGAGGCCCCCAAAGCAACCACTCCTGGCTCGGCCGCATGTGACTACTCGAGCAACAGCTCCAGGGGTTCCAGGACGCATCTTCAAGTCCAAGGCTCGCCCGCACGAGCTCGCCTCGCCCACTACCGGCATTCCCTAGCTCCTGCCTCACCTCCCCAGTCCGACGCTGTCACTGTCATAGTCAAAACCAAATCTCAACGTCATATCCTACATTTCCCCTGGAAATAAACATCATTACGTATTGGCAAAGCCTTTTTTAAAAACACATAACCATCAACGTATCTGATAAAATGGACAATAACTAATATATACAACCTAATATGCAGTCACTGTTCAATCCCCTCTGACTTCCAAAGGTATCTGTTCACAGGTAGCCTGGCTCAAGCAGGGTCCAAGCGAGGTCTGTGCACTGCATGAAATCTGTGATAGTGACGGTCTATAACTTACTCTGTGATAGTCCCCCCCTCTTTTTTTTCTTTTATTTCTGGCTGGTTGTTGAAACTGGATCATTTGTCTTAGAGAATCCAACCTTCTGGGACAGCACCTTCGACTGTCATCTCAGACGGCCCTCCGTGGAGCCTCTCACCCATCTCACCTCCCCTTCCTCTGCCCCAAAAACTGCCATCGGGTTTGCAGGCCTGACTAGGCCCCAGTTCCATTTGTTTCGGTAAGAAGACCTCAGGAGCGGTGCTGCGTACTTCCTCATGTGTCTGGCAGAGGCCGGTGAGGGCCGCTTGCCCACTGTGGATGGCGGGAAGAGGCACTGGGGTCCAGGCACGACCCACCTGGCCCAGCCACTCTCAAGGCCCCGCAAGCTTTCCTTCCCAGGGTCTCAGCAGCTGTGGGGACTGTCGCCCGATCCACTACTTCATCAGGAGTTAGTTTTCTGACCCCGTGAGTCCTGCTCTGGCTGCCCTCCAGGGAAAAGTGCTCCCTCATCTGGTGACGAGACACAGTCGGTACAGGAAAGCCAAGAAGGCGCATGTTCCTTGGATTCCTCCTTGCTGTTTCTCAATTCCTAGACTGAGCTACCGACTGGTGGTATCCAGACGTGACCCGTGCGCCCGTATCACTGTACCGCAAAGATGTTTGCACCAGACGTATTTCTTTTCTTTTTTTTTATTAAGGTATTATTGATAATGCACTCCTACAAAGGTTTCACATGAAAACACAATGTGGTTACTACAGTCACCCATACTGCCAAGCCCCCCCATATCCTATTCCAGTCACAGTGTAGTAAGATGCCACAGATTCACTATTTGCCTTCTCTGTGCTACACTGTTTTCCCCGTGACCCCCCACATTATGTGTACTAAACATAATGCCCCTCAATCCCCTTCTCCCTCCCTCCCCACCTGCCCTTGCCCAACCCTCCCCTTTGGTAACCACTAGTCCCTTCTTGGAGTCTGTGAGTCTGCTGCTGTTTTGTTCCTTCAGTTTGGCTTCATTGGTTATATGCCACAAATGAGGGACATCATTTGGTACTTGTCTTTCTCTGCTTGGCTTATTTCACTGAGCATAATACCCTCCAGCTCCACCCATGTTGTTGCAAATGGTAGGATTTGTTTTCTTCTTATGGCTGAATAATATTCCGTTGTGTATATGCACCACATCTTCTTTATCCATTCATCTACTGATGGACACTCACGTTGCTTCCATTTCTTGGCTATTGTAAATAGTGCTGCAATAAACATAGGGGAGCATGTGTCTTTTTGGATCTAAGAACTTGTACTATTTGGGTAAATTCCTAGGAGTGGAATTCCTGGGTCAAATGGTATTTCTATTTTTAGTTTTCTGAGGAACCTCCATACTGCTTCCCACAATTGCTTTCAACAATGGTTGAACTGGTTTACATTCAAGTGGTGCCATAAATGGGAAGCAGAGCCCAAAACAAGCAAGAGAGGCTTCCAGAAAAAGAAAGTCCATATCTCATTAAGATTAAAGTTCTCAAGTTATTAAGGAAAAGCTAGATTCCACTTGCCTCCATGAAGAGCAGGGAAAAGCTTCCCCCAGCTAAGCTTCCCCTTTCTCCTCATCCTCAACAGCATTTGTGGTTCTTAGTCTTTTCGATGCTGGCCATCATAACTGGTGTGAGGTGGTATCTCATTGTGGTTTTTGTTGCATTTCCCTGATAATTAGTGATGTGGAGCATCTTTTCATGTGCCTGTTGGCCATCTGAATTTCTTCTTTGGAGAACTGTCTGTTCAGCTCCTCTGCCCATTTTTAATTGGGTTATTTGCTTTTTGGATGTTGAGACGTGTGAGTTCTTTATATATTTTGGATGTTAACCCCTTGTTGGATACGTCATTTACAAATATACTCTCCCATACTGTAGGGTGCCTTTTTGTTCTACTGATGGTGTCCTTTGCTGTACAGGAGCTTTTTAGTTTGATGTAGTCCCATATGTTCATTTTTGCTTTTGTTTCCCTTGCCCGAGATGCGTCCAGGAAGAAGTTGATCATGTTTATATTCAGGAGATATTTGCCTATGTTGTCTTCTAAGAATTTTATGGTTTCATGTCTTATATTCAGGTCTTTGATCCATTTTGAGTTTACTTTTGTGTATGGGGTTAAGCAATAATCCAGTTTCATTCTCTTCCATGTAGCTGTCCAGTTTTTCTAACACCAGTTGTTGAAGAGGCTGTCATTTCCCCACTGTATGTCCATGGCTCCTTTATGGTATATTAATTGACAATATATGCTCGGGTTAATATCTGGGCTCTCTAATCTGTTCCATTGGTCTACTGTTCTGTTCTCATGCCAGTACCAGATTGTCTTGATTACTGTGGCTTTGTAGTAGGGCTTGAAGTCAGGGACTGTAATCCCTTCTGCTTTATTCTTCCTTCTCAGGATTGCTTTGGGTATTCGGGGTCTTTTGTGGTTCCATATGAATTTTAGAACTATTTGTTCCAGTTCATTGAAGAATGCTGCTGGTATTCTGATAGGGATTGCACTGAATCTGTACATTGCTTTAGGCAGGATGGC